CGGCAGATGGGTTTGAGGAGGGCGGATGAGAGAGGGTCCTCTGCAGCCCGAGGGAGAAAGCCCAAGGTTTCCCGCTATGCCCTTATGGACCTCTGGGGACCGTGAATCGGAGACCCACCTAGGACGGGGAAGTACCGAAATACGTTTCGGTAGCATAGAGGCCCGGTTTTAATCTGCTTACAAAGCAGGGACCCTTCTGTAACTAGCTCTGCCTGCTCCTTTTATGCTTGAAGTACGAGAGAGAAGTCCTAAGAAAGTCCATAACGACTTGGGAAGACCGTGACAAGGGTGCAGTTGGGCTCCTTAGATTAATGGATGGATTAAAAAAAAAAAAAAACCACACCAAAAATTTTTCACTGACATGGGTTATCGCTATCAGATTTAATCGGCTGTTAATAAGGAAGCCTTTCTGTCCGTCTCTGACTCTCTTTTTCGCCGTCCCCGAAACAAAAACGGCACTTGGCAGGAGATCGTCGAGAGATGCTTTTAACAAACACCTTTGAGCTGACTCAGGGGAGGGGCTGGGCACGAATTTGTTAAATTTGTTAGAGAGTATGTGGCAGCTGATTTATAGCGATTTAAAAACTGAGGTCAAGTAGTTATGCTTGTTCATTCTGTTGAAGAATCTGGGGGGAAGGGTTGGTAAGGTAAATAGGTCTATATTGCACAATTCTGTTGGAGTGGAGCAGTTTTGGAAAAAAAAAAAAAAAATCTGGTACTTTGAGGGGCTGTAATTGTCTGAGACAGCCATTGCGGAACACTTCTTAACAGGGGCATAGACTCAAATTGCCTTAAAATGAGTTCTTTCTCTCATTTCCCCCCCTCCCCCATTGTCCCAAATGAAGGACTCTCATGAGAGTGTGGGTTGGGGGTAGGTCTGAAAACGTCAAATGATTGGCACCAATTGTAAGATGACTTTCTAACCACGTCAGTTTTTTATCTTGTGAGAAGTAAACTTTCTCATGTCTGTTTTTCTGAGAACTAACTTCGCCACTTGCTGCAATTTAAACTCTTTGGAGAGAGTTTCGCTCCTGCAGTCGTCTTTCTTCTCATCGGTTGCTTTCTATTTATACTTTTTGGGAGCTGTGCTTAAGTGCCAGCTGATGGACTTTTGTAATGTTTCGTTCTTGATCAGTTAACTTTAACATCACAACTAGATTAAGGTATTTTGTTTTGCTTTCTCTGTTAAATTTTGAATGCTGCAGTAGTGGTTGTGTTATGTTTTGCAAAATGAATGTGTTGATTTAACCTGTTTAAGAGTCAATTCTTTGCTATAATTATGCAGGTCTTTTTGTTTATCTATCTATCCATATAAAATATATAGTCAGCATGGACTGTTGAAAGTAAAATGCGTGTCAGGTCTGAAACGTGTATGTGAAGAGTGCTTCCAGAAGACATATGGCTACTCAGTTTGTTATTGCGAATGTGTCTTTAACTCTTTTGCCCCCAGCATCACGGTTGCTTTCTCTGAGCATAGTAACTGCATTGAACATGGCTGTATGAGTTTTCAGTAGGTAGATTCATGCAGTTTCTACAGATTAGGGTCGGTCCGTTGTTTTAGGGGGGTGGTGTATCTTAAAATATATCTTTATGAGGCTAAGCTTGAGGTTTTGTTTCAAATTTGGATTTTTGTCTTCAAAATAACTCTAGTCTTTAGTTTCTAAATTAGTCAAACATCTGGGCAAACATGTAGGTATATTCCTTAGGGGATTGTAGTTCAACGCTTGGATCACGGGGTTTTCTTGTTTATGTTAGCAAAGGAGATAAATCCCTTCAGTAGTTTGATTGCTGGGAATGGAAGGGGAACAGCCAACAGAGACCATGCCAAGCAAGAGCACCAAAACCTCTACAGCAGCCCATCGGAAAGGCAGAGAGCCCTTAGAGGGGTCCACCAGTGACATGGAAGTGGAAAACGAAGGTGACAGACAGCTTAGCGAAGTACCTCCACAAGGTAGGTCTGAATATTGTGGTTCTGATGGTGTGTAAACTTGATGATAGTGCCTGTTTAGCAACAACGTTCAGTTGAATTTACCAACTGTTCCAGATAGGATTTTCTCTTTTCTCTTCTAGAAAGGAATATTGAAAGCCTTGTCTCCTGGCAAGTTTAAACTGCTTTTAAAATGGTAAAGAGGGCTTGCAAAGCGTTAAAGTGTTTGGACCGGTGATTTAGTACAAGTGCAAAAGCAATTTGTAGACTTTCTCCTAATAAAGCCTATTTCATATTCCTGATCTGTAACATTGTGCTTAAGATTGTGGTACAACAGCAGGATTTTTCGAATTTATATGCAGCCAATGGTATGGGATTTCTTGGAATGGAATAAATGTCAAGTTTATTTACTTAACTCTTAAAATGATTTGACTTTCTTTTTCATGAAGCAGTGTATTTTCTTGAGTTTCTTGAGTTGAGTTTTTGCTGAAAATGTCTGGAAAAACAGCAGTGTGTGTCTTTTTAGGTAGCCAGATATGCAATTACTAAAGCAAGGTATTTGACAAATGGATTAATATGTTGAAATTGGTGGCAAAAACTACTGTCTATTTCAAGAAAAAGTTACTAGTAACTGTTGAAAAGCTGCTTTGCTTACAACTAGCTGATATCCAGGGGGCCAGTTTGTTTTCGTAACAAACTTCCTGTCTTTGCAGAGTAGTTGTGCTGTCATTACAGCTTTCAGAGCATTGTGCAGCGATCCCCAAATCTTGCAGAGTGACTTGTGAGCACGCTTGAAATGTGGCTTTGCACTTATTAATGAGAAAGACTTTGCCTGTTTCAGATTTGTAGGCTTATTGTGACAGTTGTAGCTATTGTAATTGCAGAGTGCCTATTAAAGTGTGTTAGAATAAGAATTACATAATGAAAGAACAAACCCACTAGTGAATCGATGGGACATCTTAAGTATCTCTCTTTAAAGATTCAGTTCATGGAAAGAAGAATTTTAATTCCACTTAGCTTATTTTAAGAATTACAGGCAAAAGGATGGGTTTGGTTCATACAGAAATGATGTTTGCTTTTCCAGTTGAACATTTTAAAAGGTGTCTAGTCATTGAGAGCTTATAGTCTTTTTTTTCTTTCTGTTTATTTTGGATGGTTTTTAGCAGTCTCAAATGAGGTGCTTGATAATCGAAGTTTAGAAGAGATTTTGGGTAGCATCTCTCCTCCCCCACCTCCAGCAATGACCAATGAAGCTGGTGCTCCTCGTCTCATGATAACTCATATTGTAAACCAGAACTTCAAATCCTATGCTGGGGAGCAAACTTTGGGACCTTTTCATAAGGTATCTTTCTTTTACCTTAAGCATTTTTTAAATGAAGGTAAGACTTTGCTGTGTGTTAGTATTCCTTCCTGTGTTTTCATGTAAGCTTACCTCAAAATAACTGAAAAATATTTAAGTTTTATAATTACTTATATAGTGATATTCTCAATTTTATTATTGGCCAGTAGAGAAAACAGTTAAGTGCAACTTTCTGATACTGTACAATTTTAATTTGTCAGTAAACCTTAAAAAAGCATGCTTTTCTCTTTATTTCGTTTACTGGAGAACTTTTAGGGGTGTGTTTGAAGAATGAGAATATTTTTTAGTGCCCACAAGAGACTTACGTGGCTAATCATGAAACTTTCCTTGCGAACATGCTTGCTAAATGCAGTATCGCTTTGAGTTAATAAGTTAAAATTTAGAAAGCTGAGCTGAGTTGAGGTGTGGGTTTTTTGTTAAATAAGTTGTACTGCTTTACCTTTGGCAGTAAAAACTAAGCTATCAAATAGTCTGCAGTTTCATGCACTAGGAATAATTGTGTTTTAAACTGTTCACAAATTAAATGGGTGATGTACACTGGCCAGGATCTATCTCTCTTTGAATATCACTTTTTTCCTTCTATTATGCAGCGTTTTTCATGTATTATTGGGCCAAATGGCAGTGGAAAATCCAATGTCATTGATTCAATGCTTTTTGTGTTTGGGTATCGAGCACAAAAAATCAGATCCAAAAAACTCTCTGTGCTGATCCATAATTCTGACGAACATACGGACATCCAGAGTTGTTCTGTGGAAGTCCACTTCCAAAAGATCATTGACAAGGTATGTATGCTTCTATTCAGAACAGTGGAGACTTTTTTTTTCTTTAAGGATTTGAAAACTTTTAATATTTAGTTATTTTAGTTTGAGCTGGGAAAGCTTCATAGTTTACCTCTGGGATGTAAAACATCAATTCAAAGTTAATTAGCTTAAAAAATTCCTCTATTGAGTAGTGCAGTTCTTGAAATATTAGTAGGGATTCTTTTTTTATTTTCTCAAAGACTAATATGTGGTACATATCTATTTTAAAACTATTTAGAAATATGTAATAATCATTTTAAGAAGCTGTTTTAGAGTTGTCATCTCTTTTACGTCAAGTAAATAAAATTTATTTCTGAAATTACTAGGACCCTAAAAATTCATAAGTCTACATTCAGACATGTTATATATTCTTAAATTTATAATATGAGCATATATATTAAGAAATAAAACCTATTTAAGCAAAACTTTTCAAACCAATTAGAAACTATTTTAGGTTGTCTACATTTTAGAAAGTAAGAAACTTTCTTATTTACACTTTATATACTGTAAACATGCCTGCAATTTTAAAACAGATTTTTCATCAAGAATTCTGGACCTCACATCCTACCACTAAATATTTTTGAACCTGATATTTGGTTTGAGTGAAATAGAAAGTGTTGGCAAGTTAAAAAAAATATTTATTTTGCCTGCCACTTCATGTATTGATAAAAACTTCTGGACATTTTTGTTGATTTATAGCAATTAAAGTGCAAGGAATTTATTTCTATTACTTCATTTAAATTTAATTTTTGTGCACACATTCTAGCTGAAGTATCAACTGTTGAGTTTGGGGTCAGTCAAAATAGTGGGAAATGTACACTGAAATTTCAAAAATTGTGTTAATAAAGTGGCAATATATATAGTCTTTGAAGGAACTGTTTTAAAAGACAAATTTTTTTTTCTTTGACTTGATATACATACACACATATCTTTTGCTTGTATTTATAATAACCAGATACAAAAATTATTAAATGTATTCTTTTTTTTTTTCACTTTGTGTTAACATCTAGGAGCTAACTTTATGATTTAAAAAACTTCTGCATATATGAGATACGAATTTGATTATGCTCTTGGGGGTTAATCTGGGAAAGTGGTAGGCCAGTTTAAGTCTTTACAAGAAGCATGCATCAATTTTAACTTTTTAAAGTATAGTACCAGCTTTATTTTAGTTGCTGCTTTGTAGGTAAGTCTAAGATATCTTTTGAAGCTGATGATGTCATATTTGTCACATCTTTAATGTTTTGCTTTTTTATCTTCTACAGTTTCTCTTTAGAACTACTCAGCTAAAAGTAACTTCTTTTCCTAGCACTATAAAAGAGTTTAAAATGCAAACAGTAGTTAAGTCATTCAAGACTTCCTAATCTAAAATTTAAAGGGTGGAATAGCACAGCCACTTTAAATTTGAAGTAGGCCTTTTCCTTTGTGATTTGAAGCAGCGGTAAAGAGAATAAATTAAGTATTTTCAAAGCAATAGCTTGTATTAGAGGTGGGAAAGGCATAATATGAAGGCCATTCAGTTTAAACGATTTGGGGTATTTTTTTGTCCAGTTCTCAAGGAGGTTTGGGGGGTTTTTTCTCTCTTTTTTGAGATATGCAGCTTTAAGACAGTTCCCACTTCTATTAGACCCCAGAGTACAGTTGACTTAAAACCTGAACATGATAAAACTTCTGTGCTTAATTGTGAAATATGGGGTAAACCTGTGATATAGTAATTGTTTTTCTGACTTTGTTTTTCCTCAAAACAGGAAGGAGATGATTACGAAGTCATTCCTAACAGCAGTTTTTGTGTATCTAGAACTGCTTATAGAGATAATTCTTCTGTCTACCATATCAATGGAAAGAAAAAGACATTCAAAGATGTTGGTATTCTTCTTCGAAGCCATGGAATTGATCTGGACCATAACAGGTTCTTAATTTTACAGGTTGGTGTATGAATAAAAACAATTTTAAGTAAAGCTATACTTCCAGTTATAGTTTTAAAAATACTGTTTAGGTTTAAGTCTTGTATTTGAGGCCTTAAAGTACTCTAGCAGCACATCATGGTTTGCATGCTCTAATAAAGATGCGAATCATTATTTGCTGCTTTAGAAATTTAAGGAAGAGAAACAGTTGAAGATACTAACATAAATTTTTGTATTAACGAATTTGTGTTCCTGACATGTGGATGAATAGAAGAGTTGTCATACTTGTTCCGCCCTAGCAGCACGTAAATATTGGTGTAGTAAAATAAACCTTAAACCCCAATATTATTGTGCTGCTTAAGCGTGGCAGAGATTCAGCAACTTGTTTATACTTTAGATAAAAGTGCATCAATATTAACTTAAATCTTGATGATTCTACTGTTATCTACCGCTCTCATATATAGACATGGTTTTACTGAAGAAGTATGTATATAAAAATTAACTATGCATAAAAATTGAGTGCAAGAAAAAACACATGAAGTGTACTTTTTGTTTACACTTGTTTAACAACTGTAGAGGACTCAAAGAATGGCAGGTTTATAGCCAATTCAAGCTATGTTTTTAAAAGCTACAGTTTACAACCCATACTGTAAAAATAATCTTAGAATTTGTCAATGTAATATAATTTATATTCACGTTTGACCTTAAAATTATAAGGCTTGCTGGCATGTGTTTGCTGTTTAAAAGACAGGCTGAAGAGAACCACGCTAATTTTTTCTAATTTTTAAATAATAATGAAGAATTTTGCTATGTGTCAAACAATTGCTTAAAATGTAAGTTGACTTAAAGTACTTGATGGAAGTATTTAAATATTAATTCAATTGAGTAAATATATCTGCAATTACCTGTAATTATGTCACTACCATTACTAACAGGTCCCAAATCTACTCTGAAGATGGCCTAGAAAATTAGTGAACAGTGGGAGCCTCCCAAGGTCTGAAATTTTTCAATAGAGTTTATTTTAGGCCTGTTTTTGTCAAAGGAGCTTCCAGTTCCCCTCTTAAAAAAAAAAAAAAAAAGAAAAAAAAAAAAAAATTCTAGCTAGGTCGCTGTGCTTGCTTCACTTCCTCAAGCCTTTTTGTGCAGTCCTTTTTTAGTTACACCCACAAAAAGAGGATATATCTGTTTTTTGAAGTCTCCGTGCCAATTAATTATTCCCTCCAAAACTTTATTCCTGTATTTTCTGTTTCAAGATGGAGTGAGAAGTACCTCCAACAAAACAACTGTAGTAAATACACTCTTTTTTTCTATACAGTTGTTCTTAAGTATCATTTTAGCAAAATTTCTAAGAGGGAAAGAATGCAGAGTCAGAGATTAAGTTAGGTAGAAATTATGGTGCAGAGATATCTAAAGCTTAGTGTTAAAGAACATGCCCTCTTACCACTGGGAGGAGGGGAAGGGAACATTTGGGAGGGAGTACTGCTAAGCCTTTTTTATTTTTATTTTTTTTTTTTTTTTCCCCCCAAATGTGATTTGTTTTCTTCTCCCACTAATTGTTTCCCAGGAAGTTATCAATGAGGAGAACATGCCTTTTCCTAACAGCTTGTGTTTCATGCTTTTCACCTGTACAATGGAAATAAGGGGGAGGAATAACCAATATTAAGGCATAAAGCAATGGTTCTCACCATTATTTTTTTTTCTTTCATTCCACTAGACTCTTTGTGGGTAATGTATTATCATGAACGGCAGAGGAAACTGTACTGAGATTTTTCTGTGTTTCGTTAGTCTTTCTGACTGAAGCAAGGTCCTTTCTCTTTGCACATAAGGTTTTGCGTCTTTTTAAAGTAAAATCTACCGATTTGGCGATTCAAAGTTGAGTACTTTCCAGTTGGGAAATGTAGCAATATTTTCCACATAATGACAGCAGAACTTCAAAACCCAATTACTAAAAATTATAGTTAGAAGTAAATGAGACCATGTCAGAAGGCTAAGGCTGTGAACTACTGTCACAAAGATTGCCCCTTTTTTCCCTAATGTTTTTCAAATCAAGTTATTTAAAATTGGAGGGGTAAGTAACAGGTTTATTTAGCTTTTGCTCTTCTCTTGTTATAGCTAAACTAATATAGGCGACCCTAAGTTTAACTTGATATCAAGTCAGAGTACTTTCTCATTTAAAATAAGTTATAAATCTCTGATTTTTGACTATGTCAATAGGGTGCAATTAAAATATTTCACTTGTAATATAGATTTTGGCAAAAATGTTAATTAAGGATTATCAAAAGCTGGTTTTGGTGTGTGACAGAATATTCACCAGTTAGTAAAGAAAAAGTTGTAAGAGAACATATCCTACATGTAGTAACAAAACCTTTAGATACTTGATTATATCTTGCTAGCATATTTAACATTACTCAGTGGAAAATATTTGCTTCTTAGAAGACTGCTTTATTTCGTTAGTTTCTTCTCCCTACTTCACCCCCTATTTTGCAGTCTTTTTCTGGCATAGCAGATTTTGGTGCCTTTCAGGATAAAATTTGAAAGATTAGGCCTGACTGAATTTTGTAAAAGTTGGGTAGGGCATGGTACAGGTACTTCTGCTGATGCCATACTGAAAAATATTAAAATCAAACTACTGATGACTTCTGTGAGTAACATTACAAAAAAACACCTGTGGAAAAACAGAATATGTAAGACTAATTGAGCAGTTCTAGAAGTATTACAAATTCTGTGCCTGAGCTAGCTAGTTGAAAAAAATCTTGTTTAAAAATGGTTTTGGTTACAATGGGATATTGCCAACACTTAACAGGAGGAGTTTGTCATTTTTTGTGATCCCTAAGTTCTAACATTACACATTTCATGTTTTTAATAAATTGCTATATGCTTTTAGTACTTTAGGAATAGACAATTGTTCAGTGCATTTCTAATGAGCTTGCCACAGCCTGAAACTGCAACAGGAAAAAATGCATCTTGTCACTTTAAAAAAAAAAAAAGTATGCTAAGCACTGTGGTAAAATCTAGCATCTTGCTGCTGTTTTTCTGTCTTCCACACCTAATGCCCCAGCTTCAGTAACTTGTATATCTGTAAAGAACAACAAATAAAATTACTTAGCTTTTCTCAAAAGGCTTACTTGGAACGTCAGTGTATATATACAGAAAACTTATGTGGGTTCTCTTCTCTGACCACGTTGGGCAAAACTCAGAAGGTAAGTATGTTTGCTGTTGCTCAGTAGTGACTCCTCTGAACAGGTTAACCTTGAGGCCAGAAAAAAATCTCAGCCTCTTTATCCTGGCTGGTTTGCTTCTAAGGAATTATTAAATAAATGGGGAGCATTTGAAGGAATGTCAGTTTTGGACATCGCAGGGTAGGCATGTCTGGGGAGCAAAGCAAACTGGCTCTGGACAGCAACCATTAACATCTGCTGAAATTGGCTTTTGCAGTCTTTCAAGGTAAGAGAAATATAGTCAATACAAACTTTTTAAAAGGAAAGTGGAGTTTCATAGGTAACTCCCATTCAGCAACTTTGCAAATGAATACTGTAGAAATGGTAATAAATGGCACAAGACTTTGAATTAATTTTGTACTAAAGGACAGTATCATGGGAGCAGACTTCTTGAGTTGATTTCAATTTACTTTAGAAGCTACTTTCTTTCAAACAAGTTGAAACTGTTTTAAGTAAACTTTGGACTAATTACAGTAGTATTTAACTTAAATATATTTGATAGACTTAATTAAATATTCTTAGGTAATCTTAAGCAAGTATAAACAACCACAGTGATTTTATATGTATGTATTTTTGTAACTGATTGGAATGGCATTTTGTAATGTACTAAGTCTTATCCTATGGCAAGATTATGTTGCCAGAAAGGAAGTTAAGTCAAGTTATTCACCTGCTGCTTTGTGGAAGAAATGTAGGAGTCGCTCTTTCAGTGTATTGGAGAGGAAATGAGGGAGAGCAGATTTTCTTCTCACTTTGAGATAAGCCAGAAGTTTCCAATTGTTGAGGTCTGCTTTCCTAATGAGGCACACCAACATTTGAGCTAAAGCACCGAGTGGAGCACAAGCTGAAAAGCTCTACTGGGATTATAAATGGAGATCTATGCTGCCAACATTGGTGGTGAAGAGAGGTTTGTTCTAGAAAGGTCAAGGACAGCTGAGCTGAAGTGGTAGCAAGAATTAAAGCAAGTGTGATAATATAATTAAGTAAAACCAGATTCTTTGAATAAAATATTATGTAAAAATAGAAGCCTCACGCTGATTCATAGACTACAGAATCAATTTCACTGACTGTTCAAATATTACACTTTATGTTGAAGTGAATACAGAGCCGCACAGGAGATGCTAATATGTCTATGCGCAGTTTCAAGATGTATTCTCTTACATTATCAGAAAACTTACGTTGGCAATTCATATGATTTTTATTTTGCAAATTGCAACATAACATTGTAACCAATGTTTATTAAGCTTTCTTCAGAAAAATAGGGAAATATGAAAAGTAGAGAAAAGCACTTTTCTAGGGGCAGTGTGTAACTGAGAGTGATCAATTAAATAGTTTAATTAGAACATACCAATAATCTGAAGTCAAACATTGTAGGTTGAGTTTGACAATAACTGACTTAGATTCTAGAGTGACTCTAGATTTGCACTCAGTTTGTATTCTTGTATTAAATACAAGAATGTCCTTAAGAAAGCTTCTAAAATTAGACAGATGTGCAAACAGCTTGACAAAGGCTACTTTTAAATTCTTTCCAGAATGCAGAATAGTGGTTTTGTGCAGACAACTGAATGCTGTATAACAGGCTAATTCTAAGTTTTTCCTCATCTTTGGACAGTAGTGGCCTTGTACATTTGTGTATGTGCATTTATTACTTATTTGACTTTCTTGATTTCCCACCTAGCTTATAACACTTTTCTTGGAAGGCAAAGCATGAAGTGGATTATTTGATACTTTCTCCCCTCCTGTATATTTGCCGTCTGGTAAAATTGAAGGGTAGAAATGAGATATGACTGCAAGCATTAAGTAATA